CCAAAGCGCGGTATTGGGGGGGAGGCTGCAAACAGGTGGGGAAATCACCCAAAAATGCGGAGTGGTGCCTGGGTTCACGCTCAGCCCCAGGCATGCCACCCTGCTGCAGAGCTCCCTTTAGGACCAGAGCAATGGTAGCAGCTTTGCTTGTCTCCATCAGGGACAAGCCAAGGCCACCACAGCATCCCCCAGGACTTAAAGCCCATGGCACCGCCATGTCCAAAGCCGGGGTTGGAGCTACAGGATGGGTCTCCCTCTCTGTGCCAGGGCACACCCCAAACCACGCTTTGCCAGAAGGCAAGAGCTGCTGGCGCTTCCGTACCGGGACGTTACTTTCTGCAGCGAGCGTGTTGTTGCAGGGCTGCAGGTCCTTACAGCAGGGCGCCGGGTAGGTTCCCTCGTTATTATACCAGGGGGACTCGGTGAAGTCTGTGTAGTTATTCAGGCCACAGCAATGGACCTAAGAGGGAGAGAGAAGAAGGGATGAGGAGAGCATCCTGCACGTCTCCCTCCTGGGTCAGACACAGTGTGGACCCCACTGCCTATGAAGGGGGTCACCCAGCTCAACTCAGCTCGGGGGAGGCGCTCAATGGCCTTTTTGGGACCAGGATTTTGCCCCACACTCCAGCATGTACAGCTCTCACCCCAGCCACAGGACCACTAGATCCCAAACGGGTAGGTCCTAGGCACCTGGGAAGCTGATGGGGTGGTGACAGCTCAGCACACCCACGATTGTGATGGTGTCCCCATTCCCATCCTGCTGGCCCACCCAGCTCAGCGCACCTCATTCATGGTGGCATTCCAGATGCGCGTGAATTTGTCATCTGCCCCGTACTTCTCCTTCAGGACAGGGGTCACCACGGCCGTCAGCAGCGTCTCTGCCTGGAAGAAGAGGCAGAGAAACACCATCAGAGAAGGTCCTGAGGAGCACCACAGAGCCGAGAGCCCCCATACTGGTCTCAGCCCATGGGGAGGAGACCAACCAGACCTAGCATGGCCAGGAGCACGGCACACCACGTCCCTTTGGCCCGAGGACAGCCTGGCCCCTTCCCCACTAACCAGTGCTTTATGGCACCGAGGCCACTTATGACCAGTGAGTCATCTGATAAGCAGCATAACTGAGGGAGCCAGGAATGACGTTTGCCCTGCGGTTGACTTCTCCAGTGCCTAATGAGGCAAAGTCACCTTTCTCCCCAGGTTGTTTCTCAGGTGCCTAATAAGGGGTTGAGTTTGCTTAGCATTGAAGCATTAGAGACTTCCTCTCCCATGTGGCTCCTACCAGCAGAGGTGGGGAGGTGTCAAGCCTAGGCTGCTACTGGACTAAGGGGTTTGAAAGGAAGAAGCAGGCAAAACTTGTACCATCATCCTCATTTCTTTAGGGCAATGGGAATCCCTGTTCCCACCATCCTCACCCCGGCCAGGCTGCCCCAGCCTGCCCATGTAGCTGGTGCTGGCAGGGACTGGCATCCCTTCCTCCTGCAGCAGCGCCCACCTCTCAGCTTCCCCATCCACAGGCAGCACTGCCAGCCCTAGAGTCTCCTGTTTTCCCAAGGGGTAGGACAGGTCCCAGATTAGCCCAACTCGAGACTCAGATGTGCCACTCACAAGACTTGTGTAGACCAGAGCCACCACAGCAGCAGCAACTTCGGCAATAAAGATGATCAGCACCACCGAGAAGAACTAGGATACAACAAGGGGAGAGAGGTCAAAGCAACAGCCAGAGTCCACAGGGCCTCCAGGAGCCCATCTGCTTCCCAAGGGCCAGCAGGACCCTCCCTCAGGGTTCAAGCCCTGTCTCAATGCCTTCAGCTCTGCTCCAAGGCAGAAGCAGCACAACCTTGGGGTCCTCCAACCCTCCATCTGCATGGGGCTGACCTCTCCGGACATGCTCCAGGAGAGACCTCTGCTCAGCACCAGCTTCTGCTTCCTTTCACTCTTGCCCAGGGCAGACTTTGGTTCCAGCACTGCCTTTCCAAGGTCAACCCAAACTTCCAGCACATGGCAACATCCAAGGAGGACATCTCCATAGAGAAATCTATCCCTCAGACCTCCCCCACCAGAGACCCAGCTCAAATGAGGCTTGATAAGGAGATAAGCAAAGTCCATACCATCATCAGGAGACACTTGCTGTCCTTCTGGGCACCGTAGCACCCGAGGAAGCCAATTACCAGCAGGATGGCACCAATGGCGATGAGGAAGTAGCTCACATTCACAACCTGCAGGACGCTAGAGGAGAGCGACCCAAATATACCCAGGAACGACTCTCCATCTACTGTGACCCAGATGCCAACTCCCAGGAGGGTCCCGCCACCAAGCTGGGAGGAGAGAGACAATGTCAGCTCCCAACCAGGCAGAGATCTGGGCTTTGGGGAAGGTGCCGGCACAGGTATTTCTCCCCTCTGCAGGTTGTCACTATGCCAAAGCCCAGACTTTGTGGCCACTGAGGGCAGCTCAAGGCGTTGCCACCACAGGCTTGGGGCAGCTGGATGGGTCACTACCCCGAAACACACCCCACCACCAGCACATCCCCAGCTGCGGCATCGCAGCTGCCCCCTTCCCCAGCCCAAGGGGTTTCAGTGCCAGCAGCGGGGCAGTAACCCTCGTGCAGGGTGGCCAAGCCAGCGGCACCTCGGGCCGCCCCCTGGTCCCAGAGGGGCAACACGCAGCCAGCTTGGACGCTGGCCACCATCACGAGTTCCTCCAGCCAGGGAAGCTGCCCGCTCACTCGGGGGAATGGCTGAGCAGCCCTCGGCCTCAGACACTCACATGTTCCCAGCAAGGGCAGCTCAGGGCTGCCCCAGCCCTGCCCTCCACCCGCTCGACCTTCCCCACCAGCCCCGAGTCCCAGCAGGAGCTTTAAGAAGGGAGTGCTTCGGCAGGGCAAGCCTGGGGGCTCTACACCTCCCCTTCCCAAGGCTATATCCCACCGCATCCCCTTCCAGGTGGCTCCATTGCTCCTGCAGAGCCAGGGTAGCTCTCAGGAGCTCCACTACCCATTGCCCTGGGTGGGAGCAGAGGCTGTGTGTGCTCTGGAGACCCCCGAGACCACAGGACACTGTAATGCCCCTAGAGAGACGGAGACCCCCAGACAC